AAATAATTAAACCCAAACTAATCAGAAGAAAAGAAATAACACCGAACAAAAAGGAAATCAATGATTTAGAGAACAAAAATAACAGATACTAAAAGCTAGTTATAGAAGAAAAATAATGAAATTGATAAACCTCTAGCCACATTGATCAGACAAAAATGAGAATAATTTATCATTATCATGGATGAATGTAGTAATATATTACTACAGATTCTAAATATATTAAATGAATAAAAATAGAACATTAAAAACAGTTTTATGCCAACACATTTAAAAAGTTAGATAACAGAATCTTTGAAAGATACAAACTACTAAAATTCACTTACAGAAAAACAACCTGAATACCCCTATATATATAAAAACATGTACTATATCATTTACATATTCTAGAAAATGTAAACTATTCTATAAACCAAATGCTGATCAGTGTTTGGTTGGGGAACAGGTAGGTGTAGTAGAAAGGGATGAGAATGAGAATTTAACAGAGGAATGAAAAAAATTGGGGGATGATGGATATGTTTACTATCTTAATTCTGATGATGGTTTCATTTGTACATATTCACCAAAATATACCAAAGTATACATATTCAAAATTAGTGGTTTATTGTTAGTCATAATAATAAAAAAAAAATCCTCCAAAAAAAAGAACAAATGACTGTTAAGTTTGATTAATAGCTAAAAGCAAAGCCAAGGCATTTAATTATTCTTTAAACCTTTTATTGTAAGTATTACACAAAACAATTCATATTATTCCCAATATTGATAAAATATAGCATTAAAGAAGAGAAAATAGAAGTATGATTTACTCTTACATCTAATTCCCAAGTCATTGGTTCCATATAATTGATTATTTGGAAAACATTTCTAAGAAAGTATTCCTAGTCATAAAGTTTTAATATTTATAATTAATTTAACAAATGACCTAAATTTAAATTTGTTCAAATACGATATTGGAAAAAGAGAATTCTCAAAGCTTAACCATCCTAAGCATACACACAAACACACACTCAACACATGTAAAGTGTGACATAATTCTTAAGTCTCGGGACGGTACACTCACAAAGACCCTTGTTTTAGCAACAAAAATTTTAGTCCATGACATGTATAGGATTCTAATGTTAGCATAGGTAGTTCAATAGTCATTAATAGAAAGGAAGCGTAGATAATGGTGCATTGTTGTGACTCATGGGCTGGAGCAGGAACCTGTTTGCTGCACCAGGAAGTTACAACATTTACAGACTCTTTCACACACTGCAGGAGACTGCCACTAAACAGACTTAATTTTTAGAGCATACAGGAAATCCCAGTAGCATTGCCCTCCCTCCAATACTGGATTTTAAGGAGGTGGGGAAGAAGTAAGCACATGTGCAATATAAGTCAAAATGGCTTACAAGCGTTTGCTTGACTATAGAGGTCTGTCAGCCTAACCTGGGAAAGAGATCAATTAGCTAGGGGGCTGACCCTAGAAAGCTTGGGGAGTTGGTTAGTTATTTTTTAAAAAGTGCTTGGCCCCTCCCAAGCCCAAGATAATATAGCCCAGTCTAACAAAAGATCCTCTCTTGCTTGCTCAGGAATACAGGCTTGCTCCACTTGTTCACGCATTCCCTCCATAGCAGCCATGTGGGTCTAGCCGCCATGCAGACCGCAAAGACAGAACATATAGCAGAACAGCCAGGAATGAACTAAGCTACCTGGATGGGGACTGAGGCTTCTCAGCAGTTGTCTGGGCTCCAAAGAACTAAGCTTTAAGAGGAAATAGAAACTCTGGACACTGGCTTTAGTTTTGGCCTTGCTCAAGATATTGATGGATTTTTTTCCATGGAGAAACAGAAAAATGTGGGACACAGGGGCAGCCTTCCATTTCCACCTGAATAAACTTTGCTACACCGCAATCCACCGTGTGTGGGTCCATGTAAATGCGTTTATCACAAACCCGTGAAAGAACCCCGCTTCCAATGGCAACACTAAAACTTAAGTATGTAATCAAGCACATCTGACAACAAAGCACGCTTAGTTGATACTGAGCCCTTTCATATTATAAAAATATAGATAGTTAAAATAGATACGTTATAAAACAATTTAGCAATAGAATGTCTAAAAAATAGACATAAAATAAGATAATTACCTGAAGCCGGAAAAGTAATTTAGAGCCAAATTTTTTAAATTGTTCTTAACTTGCAGAGGCTAAAGGAGTAGTGAAACTACATATAGATGCTAAGGATGGAACACTAAACTGTAATTCCTATCGAAGAATGGGAGACAATGACTACAGCTGGCAGAAGATGTGGATCTAAAATGGAGACATCTCTCTTTAGATGGCAAGGTTAGAGTATTTTTCTATTTGGAAAAAACCAAAAAAAGCAAACAAGGAAAGCCCCTTCTACTTATCCAGGGAAGGATTTATGAAGTTTTCTCCTACTTAAGATCTGTGTGGGGAAATTATAGTAAACTTCTCTGAAATGTACTTCAAAAGTTCATAGTGCATGGTCCTCACAAATGTAGAACCTTGGAAGATGTGAACTCTGAGATGGAATTTATCTACTTAGGTGGATTCCCTATGATCAACCAAAAGCCCAAGCTTTATGAACAATAAGTCCAGCAGCTATTTGCTTGCAGGGGCCCCTCATGTACTCTGTATATCTGGAAGAACCTCAGACTGGACTCTCAGCTTCCTGTACTATGCCTTGCTTATTTATACCATCTCAGACTGACTCAACCACTGCATTAAATCCATAGTTGCAGCTTTTAACCAAAGCACTGAGACCTACTATGTCTAATCAGAACTGCACAATTTGCATACCTCATTTACATAAGTGGACCTAAATGAAAACTTGGGTGGGAATTTTTGCTACAAAAGACTGCCTCTCCTTTGTCTCTGTGGAGCACAATCCAGGTTGCTACCTGAACTTGTGTCTCTTGGGCTACAGCTCCACTTTGCTCGAATAAATGCTCTTTATTTGTTTAATACAGCCTAAAATTAATTTTGTTTTTACACATAGAAACAAATAAGCAAATGGAAACAAAACAAAAATACTGGTCAAGATACAGTTACAATCTACAATTATAAGTTAAAAGATTCAATAAGTTAGCATGAGGAAGAGACAATAAATAGTAATCAGAAGAATTCTCACCTTGAGTCTAAAACAATATGACAATCTGATAGGAGTCATGTTTAAAATGATTATGAAGATAAAGAGACATTGATGTGATAATAAAAAACAACAAAAATTGTCAGAAAAAGGAAGCATTGAAAAGAAAAAACTAGAAATAAAAAAAATTTGTCATGCACTGTGTAAGGCCATTTCAGTCAAAAGTTCAAGGATGGATCAAAACCACCATGAGGTACCACCTCACACCAGTCAGAATGGCCATCATAAACAGATCCACAAACAACAGGTGCTGGCTAGGCTGTGGAGAAAAGGGAACCCTAGTACACTGTTGGTGGGAATGCAGACTGGTGCAGCCACTGTGGAAAGCAGTGTGGAATTTCCTCAAAAAGCTGAAAATGGAACTGCCTTTTGATCCAGTGATTCCCCTGCTGGGACTATACCCTAAGAACACCAAAATGCCAATACAAAAGAACCTATGCACCCCCATGTTCATAGCAGCACAATTTACAATAGCCAAGTGTTGGAAGCAACCTAAATGCCCATCAGTAGATGATTGGATCAAAAAGTAATGGTACATATACACAATGGAATACTACACAGCAGAAAGAAAAAAAAAGAACTACTAAACTTTGTGACAGCATGGATGGAACTGGAGAGCATTATGCTAAACGAAATAAGCCAGGGGGCGAAAGACAAATACCATATGATCTCACCTATAAGTGGAACCTAACCAACAATACAAAGACGCAAGGAAAATAAGACCAGCAACACTGAAAGGAAAAGAAACCAACAGAGACAAGAGGGAAGGAGGGAGGAGGGGCGGGGAAAAGGAAGGGAAGGGGAAAGTCAAGGAACATATAGCAAGGACTCATGGACAAAACCAAAGGGGAAGAGCTGAGGGAGGGAAGGAGGGAGGGAGCAAGGGAAAGTGGTGGGAGGTAGGCAGAGACAAATGTATTTGAAAAAATAAATTAAAAAAAAAAAGTTCAAGGATGAATTGACCACATATATGATGGTGGTCCCAGAGGATTAGCATGAATCTAAAATTCCTCACTCCTAGTGACATCTTAGCCTAACCCATTCCTCTTTTGTGATGATCTCAATCTATTGGCTAGAAATGTCTGAGGCCCTCACCTGGGCCACTCACTGTGAGCTTCCCAAACACAACTATTTTTGAAAATCAGTGTTGCATCTGAATCAGCCCTTGTGGTTCCTATTATGATTGCAAGGCATCTTTCAACAGTAACCATTACAAAACTTTAAGGAAAAATAGTTTATTCCTTACAGGCTCTGGTACACACAAGACAAGCCAGGATGCAAATTGCAAGGAGGGTGAGTGAAGGACCTTCATATCACAGAGAGAACAGTGGGATTCTGCTTCATTTGAGGTCCAGTATGAGGGCCTAAGTTTTCAATGGATCACTTTTTTATTGGTGAGTTTAAATCATAACAGCAGGAATTTAAGCTCAAAAAGAGAAAGACAAAAATAGCTCAAATAATAAGTTATAGAAATCAACCAAGGTGTATAAAAGAAGCTTCAGTGTGGAGGAGGTGGCCTGGCCCTCTATCTAGTCCCACGGCTGGCAATGTGTCTAACTGTGACAGCCCTCTTTGAAGTCAAAGCATGGGCAATCAAAGCTTAAATCAGGCACTTGCATTATTACAAAAAAAGGCCAAGTGTCATGATTTAGTATACAATTACTCAAGTGTTTGGAATGGTGCTGTTGTACATAAACTTACTATGTCCCCATAGCTGCTATATCCTTTAATTTGTGTAAGTACACATTATGATGTTAGCACAATGACAAATATCTCAGACTATTTATTTCCCCATCCTTAAGTTGCACGTGACTGTATTCACTACATTAAAACTAAATAAAAGACTAAACAGCAGGGCTCACTTTGGCAACACATATACTAAAATTGGAATGATACAGAGAAGATTAGCATGGCCCGTGAGCTAGGAAGACACACAAATTAATGAAGTATTCCATATTTTTAGCCTGGTACTGGCATAAAAACAAACACATGGATCAGTGGAACAGAAGAGAGACTCCAGAAATAAGCCCATGTCTGTATGGTAAATTGATATTTGACAAAGGGGGCAGGAGAATAGAATGGAGTGAAAATACCCTCTTCAATAAATGGTGTTGGGAAATCTGGACAAGTACATACAAAAAAATGAAACTAGACCACCAACCTACACCATACACCAGAATAAATTCGAGAAGAGTGAGAGACCTAAATATAAGTCATGACATCATAGAAGTCCTAGAGGTAAACATAGGTAGTAAATATCAGATATCCCATGAAGCAATATTTTTGCCAATATATTTCCTAGGACAAAGAAAATAAGAGAAAAAATAAACAATTGGAACTATATCATATTTAAAACAAACAAACAAACAAAAACTTCTGCACAGCTAAAGAAATCATCATCAAAATGAAAAGGGAACTGGCTGTATGGGAAAACATATTTATCAATGATACCTCAGACAATGGTTTGATCTCCTAAATACATAAAGAACTCATACACCTCCACACCAGTAAGACAAACAATCCAATTAAAAAATGGGCAAAGGATCTGAATAAACACTTCTCCAAAGAGGACATACAGATTGCCCATAGACATATGAAAGGATGTTCTACATCACTAGCCATCAGAGAGATGCAAATTAAAACCACAATGAGGTATCACCCTCATACCAATCAGAATGGCCATCATTAATAAATCAACAAACAATGAGTGCTGGCGAGGTTGTGGAGAAAAGGGAACCCTAGTGCACTGTTGGTGGGAATGCAGACTGGTACAGCCACTGTGGAAAACAGTATGGAATTTCCTAAAAAATCTAAAAATGGAACTTCCTTTTGACCAAGCAATTCCACTGCTAGGATTATACCCTAAGAATTCTAATACACCAATTCAAAAGAACCTATGCACCCCAAGTTTATAGCAGCATTATTTACAATAGTTAAGTGCTGGAAATAGTCTAAGTGCCCATCAGTAAATGAGTGGAGTGAAAAAATGTGGTACATTTACACAATGGAATACTATGCAGCAGAAAGAAAAAAGGTACTCCTACCGTTTGCTACAGCATGGATGGACCTAGAGAACCTTATGCTAAGTGAAATAAGCCAGGTGGTGAAAGACAAATACCACATGATCTTGCCTATAAGAGGAGCCCAATCAACAAAGCAGAAAAGCAAGCAAAATATAACCAGAAGCATAGAAACAAGGAACAGACTGACAGCGACCAGAAGGGAGTGGGAGGGGGATAATGGGGAAAAGAAGGGGAGGGGACTAGACAAAGAACATGTATGAATGTCCCATGGACACAGACAACAGTGTGGGGATTGACTGTGAGAGTCGGGACTGGGCTGGGCAGAGGAGAGCAAAGATGTAAATATTAGGACAACTGTAATAGAATAACAATAAAATATTTAATAAAAATACTAAACAGATCAAAATTAGTAATCTGGAGTATTTGTCATTTGGAAAGTATCTGTGATCACCCATGTTACAGCAAATAGATGTAAAAAAAAAAAAGCAAAAAATAAAGGGACAGTTAAGAAACAAAAGGGATAGGATGAACTGTTCCTATTTATGTATATTAATGTGATGATGGAGTGGAGGAAGGCAATATTGAAAAGTTAGTGGGTAAGAATCTTCCAGAATTAAAGTTTAAATCTTCAGATTGAAAAAAAAACCATAGTTAATAAAAACCAGACTTTAAAAAAAAATGTCTAGACAATATTTAGTCTAAAAATAGAAGAACACCAAAGACAGAGAGAGATAAAATTCAGAGTACCTTCAGATGAACAACAATTGGATTAATAGATTATTTTTAAGCAATATTAATAAACAATGTAACAAGTAACATGTGCTAGGTGATTAAGGCAAATATCTGAGACCTTTTAATTCTAGATCCAGATGAACTATCATTCAAGATTCAGTGCAAAGTGAAGATATTTTCTGATAAAATAGAATGTTCTTTATATATTCTTGCTGAATGTACCATAAAGGATACAAAAACAAATGAATAAATTCAATTCTGAAAGAGAGAGTGATATGAAAAAAACAATGGAAAGCATCATCTATAAAAATGCCACAGCAATAATTTCCAATGGTGTATTAAAACCAGGTGGAATCAAAACAATGTAGAATAATAACAGGGATTTCATATGGGGCTAATTGCTATTCAAGCATTCTGACATCCTGGAATATTTGGAGGGTGATAGAGCTATTGACCTCCTTTGTGTATTGCCAAGTTGAGAATACTTGTTAAAAATTCAAGAATAACTACCGTAAAACCAGAAATATGCACCTTTAAATACTGTTGTGGGAAAAGAAAGAGGATAATAATCAACTTATTAAATTGAAGACACAATCACAACAACGAAACATAAACATTTCATTTAAAAAAGAGCCTGGAAAATATTCTCATATGATAATTTAAAGCAGATAATATAAATGAAATAAATACATATTTTAAATATGCATAAGTGACCAAAATGTCATGCTAGTGGAATAAAAAGCAAACTGGCCAAAATTTAGATACCTTATGGTGCAATTTATTTTTAAATGTACATTAAACAGTTCCTGTTATAAACTATATAAAAATTTAGAAGGCACAGATGCACTCTAACTTCAGGTTGCTCATAAAACAACTCAAGCTTAGGAAAAAAAGAAATTAGATGAAGTGAAATGTTCCTCGCTTTCTTCATAATATTTTATTCTTTATAACTTTTTTGCTGTGTTATATTTTATTTCTTTTAAGACAAAGAATATAAAGTAAATATTGCAAAGTGTCAACAGTTGTTAAATTTATTTGGTGGATAGATTGTGCTATTTTTTATATTTTTCTTTTATTTTATCACAAACATTTTAATATGAAACAGTAGAGTTTAAACATTATAAAAGTTGCAAAATTGGTATTAGGAGAAATTATAAAACAGGAATATTATAAAACAGGATATATCCACGGAGCATATCTTTGTTATATACCACAGGTAATCTCAATTATGTTATTACTTTTCCTGTTTTCATGCCTCTTTTAGCAAGCTAGGTTTGGACCTATAAATTTCAGTAACCCGTTTTAGATGTTTGGTGTTGGTAGCAACAGTTGTTCTTACACTTTCCCTGATACTTGAAGAGCTCTAGCCAATAACTAAGTTTACCACCTCATTTTCCCTTTCCAATCTCTTGAAGAATCACATTATCAAATTACCCAATCATCAAAGATTATATGGTCAGATTATTGTGAGAGAGATGCTGTAGCTCAGAAGTGATACACAGAGAAACTGGTTGTGGTGGCAGGATTTAATATCTGAATCCACACGTAACCCTATCAATTTCCCAATCTTGATTTATTTTTGTGGCTGCACTTTGGGCTTTGAATAACTTAGGACAACATTGTATTTAAAAGATTAGAAAAGGGAGTTATTGAGGACCCCCTTTATTGTCGTTATCAAGGAATTGGAACTTTTCCATCTGCTGAAAGGTTGGCTATATTCAAATTATAAAAAAACATATTTTTGCTTAAAAATAAAGTTTTTCTTGTTTAAGTGATAAATGATTGGATTGTTACTCTTATTTTCAAGAAATTCACATACAATCTATGATCAAATAAATGAGTTAAATAGGAAATTGGGCAGACTTAAGTTTTAAGGCAGCCTAACTTTAATTCCAAAAAAGACATTATATTTTTAGTAATAAATGTTAGAGACATTCTAAAATACAGGTAAATTTAATATAGGTATGTTGGTTTTACACCAAGTAATGTGGTGATATAAAAATTGCTTTTCCTTAGACAATTGTTTCCAATCTAAGTTAGTTTTTTACTTTCATGCACACTAAATTCTGTTAAATTTCAATAAAAAAAAATTACAGTTAAAATTCCATGTATACAATGCAATAGGTACAAAAATAATAACCAGTTAAAGTTGACCCTAGAACGATGTGGAGGGTAGATGTGCCAACACTCTGCACAATCAAAAATTCACATGTAAATTCTGATGTCCCCAAAACTTAACTAGTTACAGCCTACTGTTGCTGGAAGCCTATGATTGACATAAAAGTCTATTAATACATATTTTATATGTTTTATGGACCCATGCAGTTCAAACCCATGTTGTTCAAGGGTACACTGTTATTTTGGAGCATCATCAATCAGATGTAACATTATTAGTAACTAATATGATGTAGTTAGATAAGGAAAACACTTTTTACCAGTTCATTTTTCCAGTATACCCTTTTAAGGCGGCTTATATTTAGATTTAAGAGGAAGTTAAAGTTGTTAATTTTTTTTAACGAAGAAACATTGAATGTGTAATATGAGCCAGATAATTTGCTGCATGACATGGATATAAAAGTTAAATATAGAGATAATACCATTATATATACCATCATATGTACACCTTGTGATGTTATAACTTAACATAGAAGAATTCACAGAGTGCTTGAGAGCATATTAAATTAATAATGATATATTGGCAAAGGGTAAGGAGAGGGGCATTCCAGGGAAAGGGGATCAAGTCGCTAGTCTATATGCAATCCATATAGCCATGTAGTTCGATATCACAGAAGCACAGGCCATTAATGCCAAAGATGCAGCTGGAAACACATAGAATTATCCTTTGAAGATATAAGAACACTTTGTGAAATGAGCACATTTTAGTATATGTAATTTTCAAAAAATTCTGGAACTATAAATCATACATTTCATCCATATTTTCTAGTATTGACAGATAAATTTATGCCAGGGAATTCTTTTAAAATATTTTTAAAAAGTAACACATTCATTAAATACAACTATCCATTCATTGTTATGATATGTATTATCCTGAGTTTACATGGAAATTGTTTATTAAAATTTGAATGTCATTCTTTGTTAAAATATTCTGTAATCAATGGAATCACCATTAAATGTGTTGGGAACGTTTATTCAACTTTATTTCAGCAAATCAAAGATAATAATATTGTTCAAAGGGTAACATTAAT